AGTGAAAGGTTTCACCATTATAAAGATGTTCTCTTAAAGCTGAGAAGATTTATAATCTGTGACAAAATGGGCAGAAAAAAACTTGGCCACAGTTTTCATAGTGAAGGAGCATCATGGTGGTTATTGAAACCAGGCAGGCTGGAAGCTTCACTGTTCCTCAGACTGCCTCATATTAACTTACATACATAACTGAAGCCATCAGGTATGCTTTAGCACCTCAAAATGAGCTCATCAAGCTGGTTGCTGTGGGGGAAACCGTGTGTTTCAGACAGTTGCTTCACATCATCCCACACCACACGATCACCAAGCAGCTCAGCAAACTTTCCCTGTTGCATGGGCAGCGGTGGTCGGGGGAAAAAAAGTTAATGCAACGCTGCCGCAAGTGGAGCATCAGTGCAACTGCATCTGGGCCTCTCCGCCATCACAGTGTGTGCAAGACCAGTCTTGCACACACTGTGATTTATGTGCATAAATACAACACCATCGGCTAAACAATCAAATTGCTGATATCTATTGAGTTAGTGACCATATAATAAGTGAAGTTGTGTTCTGCTGAGCGTGCAGTCTGACCCTGATTGATGACGGGGGTTGGCAGGTCCTCATCAGGGTCCATCTGATTAATATCCGGCCCTTCACTCCTTTCCTCGCTACTAATGGCTCCCGGCTTCATCCTGTCTATTATTATCACTCAATAATGAGATCTAAAAGAAGGTATGTGTGTGTGTTTTGTGTGCGCGTGCGCAGTTGCGCGTTGCGCTTTGAATTTATAAGCAGTGTACATGCGTCCGCTTTTGTATTAGAACTTGCAAATAAATTAGATTATTTCACAGATGTGTGCAAAGTTGATTTTTTAGATATTTATTAAAAAGTTTACTGTTTCAGAACAGGCTGAATACTGAGGGAACCCAAGTCACCAAGTAGGGAAAGTATCTAAATTTGTGTATTAGTTCATTCCAGCACTCAGAAATCATCAACCCTCAATAGGTAAATGGCCCCAAGAGTTCATTTCTCTTGCACTTTTTGAACTTACCCCATAATTATTGCAGCAAAAAATTCGGGGCATGAATGGCATAAGGAGTTTTTTCTTTATTGTTCTGATGCAATTTTCCAATCTTAAATGTTTGGAAAATCGCTTTAAATGTTAAACTTTTCTACTTTCAGTAGCTGGAGGAGAAAATTCTTACTATAAGTAGGAGTGAAATAGATACATTTTTCAATAATACTTTCAGTTTTTCGAATATGATTGTGCATTGTATGGCCAGGGTTTTATTTATCAATGTACTTTTTTTAAGGATTGTTTTAGCTCTAGTGTCCTTTATTAGAGCCCTTGCATGGATCCCACACCGACGCACCCTTTCCATGATTTTATAACTTAAAGTGGCCATCAAAGCCTTAAAAACAAAAGCTCCAACTCAGAGCTTTTCCAAATAAATAAAATAAATTCACTATAGGATAGGATTTCTCACCTGCAGTAAAACTGATTCAGATGAAACTGCATCCTCTGAATATGTGCTTAATCTGTGGTATGCACAAGCAGAAAACTGCAGCACCATTCAAGGATTCAATTTACGTTCTTAGGGCAACCAACCAGACCAGACACTGTGTGACAGCTGTGCTAAAGATAATAGAAGTCGTCATCATCTTCAAAGCACTGTAAAATTCCTGGGCTGTTAAACACAGCTCAGTACCGCATCTGTCATGATTTTATATGCTGCACCAGGCTGCAGAATGTGTGCTTCAGCAATTGATGTATGGCTTGCTTAGCAATAATTAATGCCATGATTCAGATTTAATGTTTGGCAGCTTCTGCGTAATCAGGTACTGTAGAGTGTCTTGTCAAAACTATTCAAGTTCCTTGAACTTTTTCAATGTTTTCATGTTACAACCAATTATGGATTCATAAGATGTTTCATTTTACCACTTTTTTCTTGTTTGATGTTATTTTTTTCTTTTGAGTCATGTAAAGCACTGTGAATTGCCTTGTTGCTCAAATTTGATGTGCAAATAAAATTGGCTTAAATTCATGTGACACACCTTCACAGTATGTCACATGAAGTGCACTCTGCACTGTATCTTTTTGCAATGGCTCCAGGCAGCAACTTTGCACAACTAGAAACACATTTTCCCCCATTTTTTTTTTTTTTGAAAAACAGTTCAAACTCAGATCGGAAAGACAGCAGTTTTGAACCTTTTCCAGATGTCCTCAATTGAATTGTGATTGTGGCATAGGAACACATAAATGGGTTTTGATCCATATCTGTCCATTGGGGCTGTATGATGTCCTGCAGAGAGGTACGTGTCATCCCAATCCCAAGTCTTATCTCGTCTCGAACAAGTTTTCTTTGACAGTGCCAGTTTACATAGGGACCCATGAGTTGGTAGGTTTACAGTTGTACCAGAGCGCAGATAAAACTTTTAAATTCAACACCATTTTAAACTTCTCTACTTCATTCCTGACTTATTTGCTGTATGGTTTTCATAATACACTAATGTTCTCCAACAAACCTTTTTGAGCTACGATGAACTGATGGATTTATGCTGAGATAAGAACACACAGACACGCATAGAGACCTACACACACGCACACACACCTACACACACGCACGCACACAACTGGTTGTGACATATAGTTATTTAGAAATGTCAAAGTAGAGGAGGATAAATAAATATAAATTCCACATTTTAATTTGTAAAAAATATCCATTTAAAACAATTTCCTTGCACTTTACTATTTATGCATTCCTTTGTGTGTGTCTCTCACGTCAATCACAACAGAGTGCAAGTCATGCTCATCATTGCATCAATGTGTGCCATATCACAATCACAAATGATTGCTTGGATGCAATATTTGGTGGGTTGATATATTTCATGTGTCCTGCACACCATTTCTTTGTGCTAGTGATATATTTGTCCTGATGTTTGGATTTTTCATTGTCATCTTGTCATCATCACAATGTTCAGCAATGCCACGGTAATTACATGTTTTCCCTATATTATGCAGCCCAGATTAGAGGGTTTGGACTTGTGTCAAATGGTTTCCATTTGCAGATGATTAGCTGACGATTGCTCAATGTGATGCTCAAGGCTTAGAAATTGTTTTATAACCAGCTCCACTTTAAACTTCTCCATAATCTGACTTCTGAAACGTCTTCAGTCTTCCTCAGACTTTGTGAAACCGTTTAATCGCCACTGTTTTCTAACAAACCCGTGAGACCTTCACAGGACGCACAGCTGAAATAACACTTTCCACACACTTTTCAGATTGTCTGATTAGTTGTCTAATTTTCCTCCCACTCCACAGAAATGCCCTGCTTTTTCTTAATCCATTGTATGAAACATATTATGTTTGCTGTTGCTATGTGAGAAAATTCAAAGGTTTGAGTGGTCTGAATGCTCTTACATGTCACTGAATGTCATGGTTCTGAAACACTGGGGTGTGTTGACTAGAATGTCATTGCACTGGTGCAAAATCAAGATACACTCTGTCAGTCCAGCTGACAGACACAGTTGATTTAGCAATCAGCCTCAATGAGCATTGAGGAGGGTGGTGACATTTCATTCATAAATATGAAACTATTCAAGAGATGATTCCATGATGATATTGTGCAACATACCAAGAGCAAAGTGCTCTATTGAAAGCAAAATGACAAGCAATGAAAGAAGCATCTGTATCAAGTATGCAATGCTTTACAAAAATGTTATTCACAAAAACGTCACAAATAACAAACCCCCTCAGGGCTCCACAGCATATTCATATTTCTGCAGAGACTCATGACAGCAACATAAAACCTGCTAAACTGACTTCATTTTTCTGCCACATATCCGATTTAAATGTTTAGTGCTGTCATTTTTTTTTTGTATGACAAGAAAGTTAGAAGAGTTTCAAATGGAACGTATAACAAACATCGAGCACAAAGCGTCCCGAGAACTTTATTGGACATGTTGGGTTTGAGTAACTTTATTTAAGGATGTAATTATGAATTATGAGTGCATTGAAAAATAGCAAAAAAGAAAGAAAAAAAAAAGAAAGAAAATACATTCACAAAAAGGTTAAAGATCTTTAGCATAAGCACTTACTATCCAACCTCAAATGTATTCTGGCAGATAAACCAGGTCTCTTCACAGTCGTCAGAGAAGCTGGAAAATTAGTCTTTCTTTGGTTAATGAAAACACTTTTATGGAAACATTACCCATGACCTGTGCAAAGTCTTGTGTTAAAGTTCTTTGAGAAAAAATGTTGTGCAATGCTGTTAGAGTTTATAAGCACCAAATGTCTGAACCTGACAGCTTTGTTGTAGCTGTGGAGCTGAGGGGACCGAAAAAATCTGTTTCTTGAACTTGGACAATGTACCATGAGTTTCTAAACTAGATTGATAATTGTATTCCTGTTTCTTTATTTGTATTGTAATATTTAGCTTACCTCCTTTGTGATGGTAAAGACCGATACGTTTCAGGTGTTATAAAACCAGTAGGATATTAGCAAGTGAGAGCTTGAGATGGAATATTGCAATAAGAAAAGATGTGTCTTTATCCTTTTTAACAAAATTGGCAAAAAATTAAGATTCATAACATCTACCAAGTCAAAACAACTTGAGACATTCATTGATTCTTGCTCCCCACTACCTCATATGCACACTGAGCCACAGTCACACTTAATATCAGCAAATGGTAACCTGAGTAAATGAAAAACAGTTTTCAAATTATTTTTTAAAATTACAAAGCTAAGGAATAAAAAAAGATAAGAATAATGCTAAATCACTAATGAGACTAAAGTCATTGGAATCAGGGCACTTAAATGCTTCATAGATATAACAGAAATTGCTGAATAAATACCACAACATCAGCAAACTTTAGTCTTTAGCACTAGCATTATAGTTTTTTTCCCCTTGTGTTTTTGCCAAACCACAGGCAATATCTTTCTCATACTTGTGACCTCCCTGCGTTAATATACAGCCCAGCTGGGAGGATCATTGCAGCCACTTCCTTTTACAACTGAGGAGGCATAGCTGCTCACTGAGACGTGTCTAAGAGGTGCTGAGACATTTTCGCGCACATTCATTTATCTGAGATTTGAATGCACTGTCGTCATTTAGAGGGCATCTCCAACTTGCACCGAAGAAGCAACGCACAGGACACTTCAGCGGTCATGGATGTGAAGAAACAGCTGTTGTCCTTTACCCGCATGTTCCTACCTTCTGTGGGATTTGTGTTCACATGCATCGGAGGCTACCTGGTGTCCCAGCAGAACAGGCAAGGCTTTGATCACAGGATGGTCCCTGTTTACACCATGATCGTCTTCGGCTTCCTGGCCATGTTCATCGGGGTGTTCTGGAGCCTCTGTCACTCTATGAGGAGCAAGATGTACCACAGAAGAAGACACGACAGTGACATCCAGATCTTCACAGTTGAAAGGTGAATCAGCCTGTAAATGCTTGCACTGATTTATTTATTTATTGCTCAGTCTTTGCGTGATCATACTTGCATGTAAAAGAAACAGTTAAAAATGTTAATGTTTTTGATAAACCCATTCTATCTGAACCTGGATCTTCTCTTCAGCAGGCCGAGCTCCTTCCCTCCTCCGTACGAAGAGTTCCAGAGTCCCTGCCACGTCAGTCCGTGCAGCATGCATGAGGCGGTTGTATCAGTTGATGGAGTTCCCGTGGTTTTGGGTGTTGCACCTCCACTGTACACCCAGAACAGTTCAGAGAGTCCAGACTGCAGGTGGAGCTGGGAGCAACCACCTCGATACAGTCAGGTGGTCCATACTGAACAGAGATAGATGGATGGAAGTGAGGAGATGTTGCTTCCAACACAAAGGAGAAATTGGTTTTTAATCAACTTCCTCAGAGCGAGGACTACTAACTAGGAGAAGGTTCATAAAAAACTGTGGACATCACTAATTTTGTGACTTTGCGCTACTGCAAAATGACATCAGCTGCTGTGTCAACACCAACTCTGCACTGTGTCAGGGGACACAATTTTCTGGGACTTTAAAGACCTGTTGCATCGGAACTGAAATTTGTGTTGAAGTTACTTGAATGATTTTGCTTCTGGATCAAAAAGCTTTTTTATTTAGCTTTTTTTAACAGTCCATCTTCAGAGCAAGTTGTTTGGTTGTGTAACAAGTAAGTCAGAGAACTGAATACCTCTGTTATGTTTGAGACGTTTTACAGAGTGAGATCATAATATTTTCTAAAGATGTTGCACACTGTTGTATTGCTTGTGTAATAATGTATATATTGTTCCTCATTTGTTCTTTTATCAAGGCTCAATAATGTTAATGTTTTTATATCTATTTTCAAATTTTTATGTCGCAACACACTAAAAATAGTTAAATAGTCTTTAATAAATCCTGTTTCATGTTAAACCTGACGTTGCTTTAATTAAAACAAATCAAGTCCCTTATTAAGGCTACAAATAAATTCATTTACACCAAGCTAACCTGTAAGTAAAACAAACAATACAACCCAAAACAAAATGCAATAAATAACATATATTAATTTTTTACTGAGCTTGCACTTAGTGTTATTAATATATATATTTTTTAGAGATTAGCTGCATTAAAACTAGGGAACAAAACAAAAAAAATAAAATAAAAAAGACTGATGCTGAAATGCATGAGTGACATAAAATTTAATATATTGTTTTTTGGAAAGCCAAATCGTGGAGGATGTTTTATTTTGATTTTCAATCAATTTCACATGATAAGGAACAATACGGATAACTGTTTTCAAACTGTTGCTTTTAGAAACCTTTCAGTGCCTGATCAGATGAAACAAGCACTCCAGGGAAATGATCAGAAACTTGGTTAATTCTCAGTTTAGCTGAAGCGAAAATAGACAAAATGACTATGACTATATTGCTTTGTCTAGTTATTCAAGTCAAAGGTTGCAACTACAACATTATAAAAACATAGAAAAGATTAACTAGTGTGTCAACAGGACACCACCGCGTCTCATGAATTTTATGTATTTCCTTCAAACATCACACCATATCTCTGTGAATGTCTGTCACGAGCACCAGGCAGGTTGTTTAGGTTCAAAACACCTGATGGTTCACTTCAGCACAATAAACATTGAGATGAAAAAATAACCAGAACTTTATATGTTTTTAATGTGATTAAAAATAGTATTTTTTTTTTGAATATCCACTGGATTTATCCTCAAATCAGAATGACAGCAAACAACATGTTTATGCTCTCAGAGTCTCATCTGAGCGGTGTAAAGATCAAACCTCATAACTTCTTATCAGAGCTCAACAGCTTCAGTTTGTTTCCTGTTCAGCTGGAAAACAAGAACCGTTCAATCACAGCAAATAAGTCCAGCAATGAGGACACGGTTCAGTGAAATCCCAACATGCCAAAGGGCAACAAGAAACTTTTAATAGGATTTTATTTCCTTACAATCCAAATGTGAACAAAGGTTGATTTATGAGAAAGTTATAACTTTTCTCATTTTGGTAAGGAAATAACTTGCGATGTGTAATAATAACAAATTATATGTGCACTGTAAAATGTTCAATATTAATAAAAGTAAAAAAGAAACAATCTTGTAAAATTAATAAGCTCACAGTGAGTAAGTTGTAATATAAGAAATCAAGAAACACTGACATTCTGTCGTCACGTTTGTGTTTATTGCTTTATCAATAACTGACTTTTTATTGTGAACAACAATGAACATAGATGTGCAGCTGTGACACTTTTGTCTTTGAGAGACAAATTCCAGCACAAAAAAAGAAATCTCGGGTTAAAAGCTGTTCCAAGCGAAGTGAAGCTGCAGAAGGCTGTATAATTTATCAGTGTGGGCATGATAGATGCATATAACGTGTGTGTATCTTCCTCATTCTCTTTTAACTCATGTGATGACGTTTGGGCCGCGCCGTCCTGTCCTCTCATGGATGTTGGAGATCTTCAGGGCGATGGCGATGAGAGGACCCAGCACCACCTGCAGAGAGAAAGTAAATATGTAGGGAGATCATTGTTTCACTCTGACATGAATTAAAGGATGAAGTCTAGTTTTTATAGCAAATAAACACCTCCAAACATTTCACAATACTGTTATTCCTCAGTGGTGGGAGCTTAACTACTCTTCAGCAAACAAATAAACAAAAAATGAATAGCAAAATAAATAAATACACAACAAATTAATCCATGGGTGATTTGTTTCTTATTCATGCATAATTCTTAATCTCTTAAATGTTAATAATCCATTCACGACATTAAAGTCAAAACAAAAGGTTTTAATGAAGCCAAAGTAGTTGTGAAGCAGTTTGCCCCTGTTCCAGGTTGCAGGTGAAAGCTGGAGTTGTGCGCTGGTCCTTCTGCGTGTGTAAACAGAACAGGTATAGACAGATAACTCTCAGCTCCCTTACCTGAGTCTCCCTCCTGTGCCTCTCAGGGTCTCTCTCAAAGCTCTCAGCATAAATGCGTATGGTGGTACCCGTCCCTCCACCGCTGCCGCTCATCCGAAACACAAGGCGGGAAGAGTCGGTGAAGATAATCCTTAAACCCTGGAATAAAATAATAATAATTATAATAATATCTAGGTAATTTTCTTTGGTAAGGTATATAATTCAATTTACAAAACATATTTATATTATATGCACTTTAACCGGGACTCCTCATATCTATTTCTACAGTGTCCTCCCTGATGTGCATTGAAAGCAAATTTCCACTAGATGTCGCTGTCACTGTGCCGTTTGTTGGCAATGAGTCATTTTTAACCACGTTCAGCAATTAAACTCAGCAATATTTTTAAATGATATGGTCCTAAAACATTTCAACTATGATGCCAGATTTGGAGCTACTGAATTAACTCCAGTTATTTTTATTTTTTATTTTTTTGGAGAATAGAACATTCAGAGACACATAGTTTGTTGTTGTCATCTATGGAGCAAATAGGATTTTACTGTGATAGGCTAGTTAACCATATCCCCTGCATGGTAACGTAAACATATTAAGTTCACATATGACATTATGGTTGAGAAAAAAAATCGTAAGAACTTCAAAGTCTGTTTCTGTGCTGGTGAGTTTAATAGAATACCTTTATTTCATCGGTTAGCTTTTCAAAGATTTGTCAACAATATTCCCCACCTCAGGCATCAAAATGTAACAACAGTTCAGTTCAGTCTTATGGAGTATTTTTAGAACAAAAGTCACATGGGCTGTCCATGCAGTCAACGAGGCGAGAACATTTTAGACCCTTCATCTGGAAAACTCCAGTTCTTCACCTTTATCATGACTCTGGATGTTAGGCGGGAAGTGGAAGCGAATGTGAAAAGAGAGTCGTGATAATGAGAGATGTCCGCCTGCCCGGCTGTATCTGGGAGTGTGCCGGCTCATCTCTAACAATAGAGCAGCAGTTATCAGCGGGCCGTCAGACTAATGCTTGTTAAAAACACCATCTGTTCTAGTGCTCAGAGGCTACGTCTTTAAATGAGGTGGATTTTTAAAAGATATTCACACCCCATCAAGAGTTTCCACATTGTGTCATGTGACAACCACATCTTTCAATGTTTGAACGGACAACATTTTGACAAGTCTTCCCCACCTTACTCTGATGCTATAAATAAAATCTAGTGCAACCAATTGTGTATGAAAGCACCCTTCACCAGGCACAAAAATTGTAAATAAAGCCTACTAGTGTGTCTTTTAATCTCAGTTTACATCTCAGAGGTTTGTTAGAGAACATTAGCGAACAAGCAGCATCAGAAAGATCTAGGAACACAACAAACATCTCAGGGAGAACGTTGTAGAGAAGTTTTAAGCTGGGTTAAGTTAAAAAAAAAATAGTTTTGAACACTTCACAGAGTACTGCTCAGTCCATTATCTGAAAATGAAAAGAGTTTGGCACAGAGGCACATTGACAACTCTAACTAACGCATGCTATGTCTTAAGTGGCAGGAAACAAGAATCTAGTTGTTGAAAGAAAGTCAGAGTGTTCTCTGCTCTTAGTACCCATGTAATTACAATGACTGGCTGAGAGATTATGCAACTAGAGATTATGCAACTAGAGATTATGGTTAACTTAAAACATCCAGGTGAACAAATACAAATCAAAGTAAACATAAAATAAAGCTGACCCGCCTAATGTAAATGCTTTCTACCGAGACAAGTTGATTATAAGTTCATCTTGTGAAGAAAAGTGGAGATGAGAACTGAAAGATGAACATGTCGGTGCCACATTTCCCAAAAACAGACAGCTGAATCTAGGGGCTTAAATCCATCCGTTCTCTGTCTGATACGCAGACAATGCCAGATGAATTCAGAAGCCAACAACAGAAATGCTGCCATGCAACTGCAGTGTAAATCCTCCAAGCATTGTCTGGCACATTTCTGTTTGAATGCGTTTGTCTCTGCGCGCCGACTTCCTCCCCCCTCTGTGATGGAGACGCTGCAAGAGAGACGACAGCTGATATCATTTTGTCCTGAGAGGAATGTGAGTCATTAGGGGCTGACTGGGTTGCTGGGGATTTACCATTTCAGGGTGACCGACTAACTAGTGGTAAGACCTGCTGTATCCACACTGAGACATGCTTTTGCTTTTGCAAACCCAAACTGAAACGCTCAGAGTGTGTGCATGTATCTGGGTGGACAATATTCTTGGCGGGAGCAACTAAACCTGCTGAAAGGAAAATGAGTAAGTACTAGTTGTTGTAACATTAGTTTCTAAGAAATAAAAATAATTACACCTTTGTCTGCGGAATAAGAAAGGGAAAAGTCGATTGAAAAACAGCAAGTGAGTTAAAAGGACTGTGAAAGGAAGGTTGTACTAACCAAACATGTTACCAGTGTGTGAGGAGACCTAAAATGTGTGATATGTGTATAGAGACGAGTTTATGATGTAAAACTACAGATAAGATGTGGATATCCGAACGAAGTGGGTGGTCTGTAGGGTGGGAAGAGAGAGAACAAGGGCAAGTGTGAGACCTTCTTGGGCCCATTCAGATTTTTCAAGATGCTTTTTAAACATTTTATCTTGTTTCTCCAAAACCTCACAGGAAAATATACACAAACTTCATAAAATGTGGTCAAGTTGTGTACTATGAATGCAATTTTTATTTCACTTTCCACTTTTTATCTTAATGTTTTTAACATGCAGTTTTTGTCCCTTTTTAGTGACACTTTCAATGAAAAAGGATTTTTGAATGAACGACCTTTGCAACTAGATTTCCGTTTTAATTGTAGAAAACAATCACTGATTTTCTTGAGTTTTGAAAATTTTGTATGAAAGAAATGCTGCCAATTCACATTTTAAAGCTCATGAAATACCCCAAATAAACTTTATTTATTTATTTCTTTTTATAAGGGGTTAAAAATTTAGAAAATATATTATTGCTTATTTAAGAAGAGAACAGAAGTTAATAATGGCCTTCACAAAGTGCACTTTTTGTGGCTGTGTTTAAAACAGCCTTATTTGTATCCATTACAACCACTGATGGGTCAACAGTATAATACTGTTTAGATTGTCTTTATGCCAACTGTTAGGATATATTAGGCCATATCCAGTGTAAACCAGACGATAACTG